GGTGATGCTCACGGCTCCGGGCATGGGCTGGGATGCCCTGACTGTGTGTGGTACCCTGGGGGGGCTGCATGGGATGGATATGCTCCCACTGCAAACTGCAGCTCTGGACTGTGCTCCTGCGGGTACGTACGGTCGTGTATTGCCATTACACACTGTGTGCATGGATTGACAGTCACAGCTTTGAAGTTTATGTGTTAACGCATGCAGGAGATACAGCCGGTGATGTGCGTGCACACGTTTGTGGCTGCGATTTGTGTTGTCACACGCTCTTCGCTATCCACATACAAGAATATGCATGTGGTTGCATGAGATTTAAACGTACGGATGCGCAGGAGAAGTGCAAGACCAGCAGCACAGCTCGGCAGTAACGCAGAATAACACGGGCAGTTACGATCGGCTGCCGTTATCCGTCCTGCTGGAAAAGCCTGCAGACCATCAAGCAGCCGTTGCAGGCAGATTGGGCAGCTCATGCTCCTTAAAGAGTGGAGAGGAGCTTTCTCCGAGCATCCTCCAGCAAACTGTGTGTCTTTAAGGAGACTTGGGAAGCGGCTTCTTGCTTAGCACGTGAGAGCCAGGCGCAGCTTTTGGGGGAAAAAAAAAGGTGGTTGGGGAGGCGGATATTTTATTTTCTTAGCCTGTTTGTGACAAAATGTTCTGGTTTGTCACTGGAGGTGTCATTGCTGGGAGAAAACTCGTGTCATTGTCCGCTGCGGTGAGCTCGGAGCATGTTGCTAAGGGCCAGCCCCAGGCGGTTTCTGGAGCACCATCTTCTCTTTGTGGAGAACACAGAACAGCAGCACCCGGCTCAGAAATCACTCCCGAATCCATTCATGACTGAGGAACCCTCCGTCCCAGCCGAGCCAGACCTGCCATCCTCCAACCTCACCAACGTGACGGACTGCGGCGAGGAGATCTTGCTTTATGGGGACACTGAAAAGTTCGTCATCGGAGCAGTGCTCTCCATCATCATCCTCATGACCATCGCTGGCAACGGTCTGGTCATCATCTCCGTATGCATCGTCAAGAAGCTTCGACAGCCCTCCAACTACCTGGTGGTCTCCCTGGCAGCTGCCGATCTGTCGGTGGCCTTCGCTGTCATGCCCTTCGTCACCATCACGGACCTGGTGGGGGGAGAGTGGCTCTTTGGGAAGGTTTTTTGCAATGTGTTTATCGCCATGGACGTTATGTGTTGCACCGCCTCCATCATGACCTTGTGCATCATCAGTGTGGACAGGTAAGGGAGGACAAGACACCTGCCATGTATTCAGGTGGGCTCGAATATAAGGGTGTTTCTGGAGGCTGAGGGCCACTGGAATTGTGTTCCCAGTTGGATCAGTGCTTCTGCATGTGTTTTCCAGGTGCACGGGGTTGCTGGGGGCTTTCTGTAGGAATTAGGCACCTCAGTCCCTTTGGAAAGCTGGGCTTAAGGTGCTTTCTCAAGTAACTTAGAGAAGTTGCTTGCTCAGTCCTTCTCCTCTAGCCAGCTGCTTCACATTGCTCTTCCTCGGTTGGAGGAGCAGAGCCTAGAGGACAGACCCATGACCTGACCTTCTCCATGGAAGGAGGCTGGAACATAAAACTATTCAAGAAAACAAAAAAAAACCCGCCAGATGCACTTTGAAAATTGAGGTTATGGGGCTTCTGGAGATCAGTCCTATGGGATGCTCTGCTGCTCCCTGGACTTGTGCCTTGGCTAAGGACGTCGGCAACTCCCCCCACCTCATCCCAAGTCCCCAAAACCCCTGGTTTAGCCCAGTGCATGCATTTGTCAGGATTTGCTGGATTCAACTCCCACACCTGGGGTCAGGAGGGGAAGGATAAGCCTGTCTGGCAGACTAGCAAGACTCGGGCAAGTCAGCACCTCCGTGGGTTTAATTATAGCAGCCTGCGTCATTAGGGACATTGTGCTGACGAGCCGGAGGGCCAGATCCAGATCTGACGTGCGTGCTGGCTTTCTCAGGGGGTTGGTTTGGGTTTACGCTGGCACTGCTGAGCTGGGCTGGTTTGTGATAAGCAGCTCTGGGAAGGGAGACAACCGATGAGATGCGTGCCTTCAGCTATACCCCCTCCCTGGTCACCCTCCCCAGATGTGAGACCAGGTGACAAAGCAGAAAGGACAGAGAAAATCTGCTGCTGATGACTGGTGTTACCCCGCAGTAAGCAAACAGCAAGTCCTGCTCCGATGCCCTCGCCCCCCGCCAGCCACTGCTCCCCTACGAGCTGCCCTTTGCTCCACGGCCCTGATCAGCTCCCTGCTGCTCGGTAGAAAGCAAAATCACTGCCAGGCCACACGGCAAGGTCCAGCTCTTCTGCTGAACTTGCTTTGTTTTAATTAAAAGCCTGTTCCTAAAAAAGCAGATGTATTCAGAGCTTACAGAAGTCTGTCTCTGTTAGAGAGAAGAGATTTAATGCCGTAATGAAATATGTAAATGCTTCCTCTTGATGAGTGAGGAGCAGGGAAACAGCTACACACTAATCAGATTGGCTTTGCTTAAAAAAATTCCCTTCCCTTCCCTTCCCTTCCCT